ATATATATATATATATATATATATATTAAAACTATATGCAAATATTATAAATTTATATGACAATAGAATATGGGTGTTGCTCCCTCCACCACCAAGTACTTCTGCGTCTCCCTACTATTTTCTTTTATTCCAAAAATACTCTACACCTCTCCACTATTTTATTTTTATTTCAAAAATACCCTACACCTCCCCCACTATCCTCAACAATCTTTCTCTTTCTCTCTCTGCATTAATGGAACATTATCTTTCTCTTTCTCTCTCTACATTAATGAAGCATTTATATGGCTTAGATTTAAACTTGTGATATATTGCAAAATATAAAATTGAGAGAAAACTTCAATATTAGTGTTTCTACCACTTCCATTTTATAAACTTAAAGGTTAGATGCAAATGCAAAATAATAAACATAATAATATTAATAGTAAATAATATTATATTATTATTATTAATATTATATACTAACTTTATAACGACAAAAGAACTAAATAAATATCAAATCTTTAACAAATAACTTTTCTTTTATATTTTAAGTATTTAATAATATTTTTATATTATTTATCTAATAAATTAAATACTTTATTCAAGTTATTTGAGTCAAACATGTCGGTAAGTTAAAACATAATATAATGTTAAAAATTATAGATATTAAATGTAAAAAAAACACACATATATATAAACATTTTTCTAAAAAATTTTACCATTTATTAAGTGATTTGAAGAAAAAAAAATATTGAACAATGAAAATAAGATTGAATCAAACTTATTTAAGGGAAAGTGTAAATAAAATTTTACAATATATCACAAGTCTAAATCTGAACTATGTTAATGCATGGGGAGGTGTAGAGAAATTTTGGAATAAAAGAAAATAGTGGGGAGGTATAGAGTATTTTTGGAATAAAAGAAAATAGTGGAGAGGTGCAGGAGCACTTGGGGTGGTGGAGGGAGCAACACCCATAGAATATTAGTGAGGTGAAAATGGGTTATAACCCGTGAGTTAACTTGGCCCATCACGAGTTTAAGTCGGGTTGGGTTTGAAAAAAATATATTTAATGAGGATTAGTTTTCAACCCGACTCACCAACCCACCTAATTTAATTTAATTATTTATTATTTTGTGTTTAAATATTATTAGTTAGCATTTTTTTTATTATATTGTAGATGAAATAAAAAAATATGTTTCAAGAGAGAAAAATATTATAGATTTATCTATTCAAGACTCTATTGTTATAGATGAACAAGTGATACACAAGTTATCAATATTAAAAACTTATCTATTCGCCTTTTGTGTTTGTTTTTGGATTACGCTTGTATTGTATGATATTGTTTTTTATTTTGAACTGTCTCTGGAGTTTAACATCATTTTAGAGTGAAATTTATTTAGGTTTGAATTAAAAAAATTATAATTTTTTTATTTTAAAAAACTTATAATTAAGTGAGTCAGTGAGCCATTGAGTCAACCTATTTAATCCACCAATCCGTGTTGGGCCAGGTCGAGTTCGAATTTTTCTAGCTCGCTAATAAATGAGTCGAATTGGATTGGCTCACTAAGTGACTAACCCATGGTGAATCGGGCCGAGTCTAGTCAGGTTACCCGTTTTGCAACTCTACATAAAGTTATTAAATAATTTTTTATAGGAAAATAAGGTAAATGCATTATACAAATCATATAATGCATATTGATTTAACATATTACAACAAAAATTACAGAAATAATTCAACCAATGTCAGAACCCATTTAAAATCCACTAAAAACCCCATTTGAGTGGAAGCCAAATGTCAAGGAAGAGAGCTGGAAATCAGAGAGTGGAAAACAGGTCGCAGCAGGAGGTTGGTCGTTCGCTAATGACGGTAGGAGTAAAATTCTGGATTTTCAAAAGTTCACGCCACTTCTGCATGCACCCTTCTTCCCCAAAGCTCTGAACTTTCATTTTCTCCTCCTTCTCTCTAAGATTT